AATGGGCCTGGACTTCACTGCCCAGCCCAGTCCAGCTTACAGAAAATCTAAGCGGAAGGCCTTTGTACGAATCGGGTTGTGATTCGGTAATTGAAATATCAGAAAAAGGTGGGAAGGAAGTAGCATAATAGAAGGTTCGGGTTAGGGCTTAAGAGTGTTTTTGCTCTTTCTTCTTCTTCGTCTTTGCGATTGTTGTTCTGTGCAAGAGAGAAGAAGAGATCGATCGATCGAAATGGCGTTGGCTTTCGACGAGTTCGGAAGGCCGTTCATAATCCTGAAGGAACAGGAGCAGAAGAGCAGACTCCGAGGTTTGGATGCTCAGAAATCGAACATCTCCGCCGGCAAAGCCGTCGCGCGGATCCTCCGCACCTCCCTCGGTCCCAAAGGCATGGACAAGATGCTCCAGAGCCCCGACGGAGACGTCACCATCAGTAAGTTCTGCAAACTTCCTCGCAAGTGCCACCAAAACGTGCGCCATTTCCCTCACTAACTCTTTTTTGTCTTGCAGCCAACGACGGCGCCACCATCCTCGAGCAGATGGACGTGGACAACCAAATCGCGAAGCTCATGGTGGAGCTTTCGAGGAGCCAGGACTACGAAATTGGCGATGGCACCACCGGCGTCGTCGTCTTGGCCGGCGCGCTTCTCGAGAAGGCGGAGCGCCTCCTGGAGCGGGGAATTCACCCAATCAGGATCGCCGAGGGTTACGAAACGGCGTCTAGAATCTCGGTTGAGCATCTTGAGCGCGTTGCCAACAAGTTCGAGTTCGGGGAGTCCAATTTGGAGTCTCTCATTCAAACCTGCATGACCACACTCTCCTCTAAGATGTAACTGAAATGTTTTACTCTAATTGGTTATTGATTCCTCTGTCTTTACTTGCATTGCTTACGTTCTCATTGTAATGGATTTGTTGTTTGTTTTAATGTTGTAGTGTTAATCGGTGCAAGCGTAGCTTGGCTGAGATCGCTGTTAAGGCTGTACTTGCTGTTGCCGATCTGGAGAGAAAGGATGTTAATTTGGATCTGATTAAGGTGGAAGGGAAAGTTGGGGGTAAATTGGAGGACACTGAGTTGATCTATGGCATAGTTGTTGATAAGGATATGAGCCATCCTCAAATGCCTAAGCAAATCGAGGATGCTAAAATTGCTATCTTGACCTGCCCCTTCGAGCCTCCCAAGCCAAAGACTAAGCATAAGGTTGATATTGATACAGTGGAGAAGTTCCAGACGTTGAGGTTGCAGGAACAGAAATATTTTGATGACATGGTTCAAAAATGCAAGGTGGGATTTCTCTCATTCTTTTTTAACCTTCTAATTGAAATGCCATGTTTCCTTGGTTTAACCTGGTGGGGTTAGGGGAATGGATCCTCTCAGATGGGTAAACACTTAAGAAGGTCATGTGTGTTTATATCCACTGTTCATTTTATTAAACTATCATTTTGTACTAAAAACATGTTTTGTATTTATAAACTATTTTGAAGGGTTAGGATCTAATCTAGTGAAAATGTGACTGGAGAGAATGCATTCCATGTGCAAGTCTTTGGGATTTAAACTCGAATTAGCCTTGTTGAAATGAGATTGCGTTCCATATTGAAACTGACATATTGGTTTGCAGGATGTGGGTGCAACCCTTGTAATTTGCCAATGGGGTTTTGACGATGAAGCAAATCATCTCTTAATGCACAGGAACTTGCCAGCTGTCAGATGGGTTGGTGGTGTAGAGTTGGAATTGATAGCTATAGCAACTGGTATGTTTTAATTTAATCTATGTATGCCGGGGAAGTTTTTATCTTATGGCTTTGTAGATATTCTCCTGTTCTTATTTGCTTTTTGACCTAAGTAATGTTCTATTTGGGAATATAGGTGGAAGAATTGTTCCTAGGTTCCAGGAGTTATCAACAGAAAAGTTGGGAAAGGTAGAATCTTGCACTTTACTTCTTTTGAGGGGTTTGCAAGATCTGCAATTTTTTTTCCAGTTTTTAACATTTTGAAACTACATGCAATGGTGGCAGTTAGTAATTTAGAACATCTAGCTGTGGTAACTACATGCAATGCTTGTCCATTTGACAACACACTGAGCTACATTAATTTGTTTAATTTTTTTAAGGCTGGCATGGTTCGTGAAAAGTCTTTTGGTACGACAAAAGACCGAATGCTGTACATTGAACACTGTGCAAACTCAAGGGCTGTAACAATATTCATCCGTGGAGGTAAAGCCATACTGTTTTGATTCCTTCATTTTTCTGGTTTTCTTTGAACTTTATATAATTAGCCTTTGGTAGAAAGTTAATTTTCTAACTGTAGCGTGTTCAGTATTGTATTTATTTCTTTATTGTTCTTGGGAGTGAGTTTGAACTTTTAGACTATGTTTATATTGATGGAGGGAGATGGATGGAGTGGATTAAAATGGAATGAAGTGGTATGAAATATAAATGTATATATTAGAATAAAATACCCATTCCATTGGTTAGACACGTTAATGAGAGACTGTAACATAATTTTCATTACTTTATTTGGACACCGAACAAACATAATCAATAATTATTTTTATTACCATATTTCTTATTTTGAAATACTAAAATATTATTTTTAATCTTCATTCGTTATATTTATCTGTCTACTTTTCATTACGTTTCCTTTTTAACATGTCACTTTTAAATAGTTCTCTTATTTATTTGTTTCCTTTGTGACTGGTTTGCTATATTGATAAAATGCTGAGCTTGATATATTTTATATAAAATAAATTGGGCCCTTAATAACAACAACCCCACAGCAGTGTAAATGTCCCTCTCTTATACTCAAGAACAATAGCGGTATAAGTGACAATGTTCCATCAGAATTTCATCAAACGCTCAACTAACGTTTTTCAGACATGCCAAAATTTGTGTAAAAGTGTACAATTGTTTGCTAAAGTGGTTGGGATGTGAACCATGTGACATAATGCAATAGAGGGGCAAGGAGGAAGGGTATGTGTTGTTAGAACGGAGGTGACTGACCAAGTTTGAGAATAGATGTGGAGTTGCTACAGATGGTATGGGTGATTACTCTTGTTCAATGTCAATACAATAGTATAATTAAAATAAGAAATCAAATTGGGGCTCCATCCCTTCTATACCCTCCTATTTGAGGGGTAAGAATCCGTTGCTTACATTTCTCATCCCTTCATTTTCAATCTCAATAACGAATCTTGAGTCTGTTACATTCCATACTCTCCATTTCCCCTTTCATCAATCCAAAACTTAGCCTTGAATATTACCTCTATTTGTCTTTCCAACTATTAAGTCATGAAATTTCTCTGGAGCTTTCTAAAGTAGACATTTGAAGAATGATAATTGTCTATTCAAGCTTGTCAAAGTGAAATCATTTATCTTCGTCTGAGTAGGTAACAAAATGATCATAGAGGAGACAAAGCGCAGTCTTCATGATGCCTTGTGCGTGGCTAGGAATCTTATCCGCAACAATTCTATTGTATATGGTGGTGGTTCTGCTGAGATTTCGTGCTCTATAGCTGTCGAGGCTGCTGCTGATAGATACCCTGGAGTTGAACAGGTATGGATTTCATTAAACAAATTTTGGGTTTACTTTTTGTTATTTGCCAGAATAAGTAGTTTTTATATTTCCAGTGAATCGAATTATCAGACCTGTTTAAAGAAGCTATTAGAAATAATTTTGTTATCACTGATCGTGTGTAGCGGGGGATGCTGAGTTGTTGTCAATGCATCATAAATGATGTTATTGCTTAAACAAATTTTTTGGTCTTCCCCAATAATGATGGAGTGTTTTCTTTCCATGCAGTATGCTATTAGAGCATTTGGGGATGCCTTGGAAGCCATCCCAATGGCCCTCGCTGAAAATAGTGGCCTCCAACCAATTGAAACATTATCCGCTGTTAAGTCTCAGCAAATAAAGGTAATGGATTGAAGATGATTGTTTTTGACTATGTTAAACATCTGTACCTGGTATTGATATAATTTTATGTGTACTGTGGCGCTGACCTTGATTCTGCCTTCAGGATAATAACCCTCACTTTGGCATTGATTGTAATGATGTTGGCACTAATGACATGCGTGAGCAAAATGTCTTCGAAACTTTGATCGGAAAGCAGCAACAGATCTTACTCGCTACTCAAGTTGTCAAGATGATATTGAAAATTGATGATGTCATTTCCCCATCTGAGTACTGATATTTTAAACTCAGTCACGTTCTACATCAAGATTCTGAAGCTTGCTTATAGTATTTTTGTTTAATCGGTCTGATTGTAGTCACAGTCCGTATGTTTACTTGAAATGTAAGATTTTGGCCCAGTTTGTATCGGAGTTGGGCGGTTGTTTTTGTTTCTTAATGCAATTATCTTTTTATTTTTAAAACATTATGGATTAGTTGTTTTTGTTTAGACATTTTAACCTTTGTTTGTAGGCCGAGTGAAATTTTGTTATCTCAGTCTTATTTTGGGCCCTAAATGATTGGTTCTGAGTGAATGTAGTCTGGGCGAAAGTGTTAGAGCATTAAAGTCCTAGATTTTATTGTGGTAGTGCAATATTATTTGAGGAAGAAGTTCTTGACAAAATTAATTGGGACTCGAACGACCGTAAGAAGTTTGAAACTGATAAATATATCGCATCTTGGTTTAACTGTTTGCAATCCAATATTTGTTCATTCTTTGGCCATTGAGTTGGCAGTGTGGATTTGATATGCATTCTTGTAGCTAACGAGTGCAGGGGCTTCAGTCGTTAATGCCATGCCTGGAGGAATTTAATTCTGTTAGCGTAGTTGTGTCAACAGTAGCGTACTAAAAGCATAAGAAGCATGCAAACGGGAATCAGTCTATTGCAGATTCATTAACATAGATAGCAATTTATCTCTAATACTCTATCATGTTATATTACTTCATCCATGGCACGGTTTCCATCTTACATTGCCCCTTCATAGGAATGAATGTAACATCTTACAACACTCACTGGAAAAATGGAAATTGTTGCATATTTTGAATTAGTTGGTTTGCTAGTGTCCGCACAGGTGGCCATTTTTGCATCTAAGTGCACCAGCCCCTGCCGTCATTGAAGGCACAAGTAGAGGTGGTCTTGCTGCCATGCTTGACGCTCTATCATATCTAGCTGTTGCTCCAGCCCCTGACGGTGTGAAGAAGGCGCCATTCAACATTAGATCTCCTTCAGACCTCCAATTCCATTTCTTCCACTCTCCTTCTGATGATTTAAAATGTTTGGTCACCTGAAACCACCCAACGTCTTTTTCAATTTATTAAAATTACCATCGTGGAAGAACTTCACAAAATGCAACTCTCACCTCTTTATGGTCTTCATCATTTGGAGCAAGAAATCTATTGCCTTGGCTGAAAATAGTTGGGGATGAACTCCCACCTATTGCGTAATGCTGCCAATGTATGTAATCATTGTTCACCACATGAAAGTATCCAAACCTGCATCTGCAAATATACCAGTTGAAAATAATATTACACAAAATATACACAGGGCTTACATATATAGTATTACTCAAACTTACCTAGGCATTCTTCCTCCTAGCCCTTCTCCAAAATGGTTGAAGGCTATGGTGACTTGCATATTCTTGTCATCTTTATAGGAATCACTGTGGCCCAAGAGCATGACCTTGTTATGGTGTGTCATGTAATTGTTGGAAATGGTGATGGCCGTTGAACCATGAACAACATCAATCAGGCCATCAAAACAGTTTGACAAGGAGCAATGGTCCACCCAAACATGACTCCCACCAGAGATTGTGATCCCATCACCGTCCGATCTTGCACTCCAAGTGCGATGGTTAGGAAAATCACTCACATATCCACTCCCACCTCGTTTGCAATGATGAATGTGTATGCCATGGATTATGATATTCCTCTTGTTGTGCACTTTAATGCAAGGCCCTCCAGCAATGTGGATAGTTGCTCCTCTTCCGTCAATGGTTTTGTAAGAATTAACAAGGAGATCCATGTGTAGCTTGATCACCATGTCACGCTTGAAAATGATCCACAAAGGCTCTTCTTGGATAACACCATGTCTCAATGTACCTGGTTTAGGGTTCATAGGGTTATCACTGGGGTCAGTCACCACGTATAGTTTCCCATCTCTTCCACCAATGGCATTCTTGCCGAACCCAATACCACAATTAGCTAAACGCTTGCGATTCCTTTCCCAGTTGGGGTCGCACCTCCAACAATCATCAATGGGGTTCCCCGTACCACAAGAAAGGTACCCCAACTTTCTCCTTGAGCCATTAATGCTCCTACAGTAAAAACCCATGCTCCTTCTTCAGTCTCATGCTTAAACACCAAACAACATGCATGCACATCTATAATTAACCTTTAAGAAAATAGCAATGGTATCATGACACACTTTTATATTTAGTTGACACAAAACATAAGGATAAAATAATCATAAACGTGTAAATTTTTTTATTTTCTTCAAAAAAAGTAAAAAGTACAAAAAGGATAATATCAAATGAATGTAAAAAATTTAAGTGTCAAAAAGAATCATTTTTTACAAGAGAAACCTTAACATCAATGACACTAAAAAACCCTAAATTCTCCTATGCTAACGGAGTCTCATGCTTCATCACAAACTATTCTTAAGGAAGTGCATGACGAAAAATACATACAATTGGAGAGAGAAATGTTTCAAATACAGATATACTCCAGCAATAATATAACCAGCACAAAGTCTTCACATTGCCTAATTCATAGAATAAAACCAAACTTCAGAAAGATGTTTAAATACATAAAATTTGAATTTAGAATTGAAGATGGTAGAACCCATGAACCACAAATTTAACTAAAAAAGTAAATTCAAGATTTTAATTTATAATAACATAGGATGCATGGTTGTTATTTTTAACAATATAATGTCAAAGTTTAAAACGAGGATCATAATCTCCAAATGTCTGTGCTTTCTGGTAATAATGAACTTGGTAATGCAAATGTGTGTTGATCTTTTTCAAGACTGTAACATATTGCAAACAAAGTATGGTGGTAACATACTTTTCCACTTCCTGGACCACTAATTCAGGATCTTGAACAGGAGAAGTATACACATAAACCACAGATGGGACAAGAAGCAAAAGGTGGAATGTAAAGGTGAATGAAAATGCCATAATGTCTTGAACTTCCTATGGAGGGAAGAAGAACAGGAGGAACATTAATAAAGTGAGAATTTGTACAGTTGTGAGTTCCTATATAAAAGTGATGGAAAAGTTGAGTTTATATATTAGTACAAAGAAGGATAATGAATTTCTGATTAAACTATAAAAGCTTTTGTTTAATTTCTGGGATTTATAGATTATTCATTCCAAGGTCAATTTACACACTGTTATAGAGTCTATAGAACATTATTCCAATTAAGAAATTATAGTAATGATAAAAAAAGAAAAAAAAATTCCCTTACACGGAAATTTTAGACATGAAATATGTGTCTGTATTAGCAGCTAAGAGGTACCCTTTGGAGTTGACAGCATCAAAATGTGACAGTTTGTTTGTCTATCATCCATCAATTATGCTGCATGTATATATAGTATTGGTCCTTGAAAATGAGGTACAATTTTGTCTTTTAATTGATCATTGATCTATTTCACATTTTCACTCTCTCGTTTTATTTTGATGAATAATAATAATATTGGTACAAGAAAAGTTAGATGTTGCTTTTGTGTAAGATTCCTCTGCTGAACCATTTTACTATTTGGATGTGCCCTTCTTTCTCAACGAAACGTCCCTATATAAAATCAAATACTTTTATTTTATGTGTACAAGAATTCATAGGATATACCAATGCAAAATCCTCGGATTCTGATCAAGGTGTTACATGATTCATATAGTTTTTTTTTTTCACAGACCACATTTTTACATCAAATCGATATCATAAATAATCTCTCTTTCTAAATATTTTTATACACTTCTATACTCGAAAATTGCAGGAATATTCGTATTTGCAGCATCTAAAATTAGTAAAAGAGTATGATATTGTTTTAATACAATTTTTAATAAATGATATATTAACTTTACTCTTTAATTTGTAAAAAAAGAAAATCTTTTAAACTGATGCAGTGCTAAGAGAGGATTGATTAATTTAATAAAAGATAAGTAATTAACAAAAACTTTTTTTTTTAATTTTTTTGGGGTGATTAAACTGCCGTCTGATTTGTTTGTTTGTCCCAAGAAATTAAAATTAAAGATGTCTCAAAACATAGTTTTAAGGAAACATTATTCTCTTAACTTGCTTATGAAAAGTTGTTATATGAAGAGAAAGTATAAATATTTGTCGAAGGTTTAAACTTGTTCTTTAAAAACCACGAAAAGCCGGGGTAATAGACTTAAGAGATTCTCTATTTCTAGCATCCGGCAGATATAAAAAAAAAAAAAACTTTAATTATTTAAATAGTTTGTCCATACATTCACTTTTATATTTATTACAATTAATTTGATATTCAAATTTAAAACACTAGTTGCAGAATAACGTAAAAAATACTACAATTATGATATCTGATTTTCAAAAATTTAAATTTAAATATTATTACATAAAGGCCAATAATTTAATTATTAAAATGGTGATTTTATATAGATGAGGAATAACGTGCAATATTTGCTATAATTTAAAATGTCAATATTTTGAAGTTGATATAAATGAAATATAAAAGGAAAGAGTAAGTAATGATAGTGTGTAGGTTATTTTCTGTGCACAGCCAAGCAATGAAAGTCCTGATTTGTTCATGTGAGCAAATTATTGTTGTTATTGTTAGAGGTTGATTGTGGGCTCCTCGTAGGGATAGGTTTATAATAATTTTGGGCCTACATGTGGGTTGTGGAAGGTGGAAAGGCCCCAAAAAAAGCAAGTACTTATGGGATTGGGGCCCAAAAAAAGTGATGCTAATAGGAAGTAGCATAATCATCTTGTGAGTAGATATCAAAATGCAAACAATCAAGATATCCATTATACATTAACAATCAAGGCATATTCATTTCATAAAACATTGTAAGAAATTTTTGTATTTCTAAAAGAAAATAAAAAGTGAAAGATAGTGTTCCTAAAAAGTTGGACACCCTTGTTCGTTTTGAAATGTACAGATTTTGTTTTTAGAAAATGTTTTAGAGAATAAAAGAAGAAAAAAAAGTATTTAAAACTATTGGGTGAAATAAAAACAAATAGTATTATAGTTTATTTTTAAAATATCATTATTTTTTCTCATCCTAACATTAGAACCATTTGCTTAACTCCTTCCTTTGTACCTAAAGTGCTTTTTGTCTTGTTTCTTTCATTAATGTACTTGATCCTTTATTAGTTTGAAAAAATCTTTATTTCATAATTCAAAAATAGAGTATAAAGTATTTCTAGTAGATGTTTTTCTTTTCATTATTGTAGTGGGTACTTGCTAAATATTACTTTAAAGTGTATTTAACATGTTAATTTTTATAATGTCACGTCAACATTTCTATTATTTTTTTATGATAGAATGATCATATATTATTAGCATAATTAATTTAAAAGTAAATTTTTTTTATTCTGATGTTGTTCAACAGGGTGACATTCAACGGTCTGGAGCTGAAATGCTCCTAGACCCTCACTACAAAGTTTGCACTCAGAATGCAAAAATTTCTAACACTGTAAATTGGTGAACTAGGGATCTATTCCAATGAACAAATTAATATTCAAAACTTATGGTTAAAAACAGATGTAGGTGTCAAAATAATATCCATTTGTTCAAATTGCCAAATTCTCAATCCCTCAACTCAACACCAGACAATCTTTAATCAAATTCATATAAAGAATCAATATCATCTTTAACCCAAAATACTAAGATATCGAAAATTAACTTACATTTTGTTTTTCAACAGTTTTTACACTAATTTCTCACTTTGATTACAGAGAAACATAATAGAGGATGAAAGGAGTACTAGAAAAAATCTCTACAACTCCCAACTTCAATCCTCCTGTTTGTCATATCTAATGTTGAAACTCAGCACTTAAAAGAGAGTGTAATTATTATATAAATGAATTAACAATACTCATCACGAAGAGTTCAACTATATATGTGAAAGCAAAATACGAAGGGAGTTGCTAAAATTGAATACAAATGTGTAGTTTTTACCTAGATGTCAAACCAAATAATGTACAAAGCAGATTCTGAAAATAACTGTTTGGCGGTGACATTTATAACACCACCAGTATCTTGTCGGAGTCACATACTAAACTTCAACTCTTGTCACTTTGTATGTCATAATTTGGTGCCATAAAAATTATTTCTTGCGTTTCAAACTGATTGCCTTGCATGTCAGAGAAAACTCCATCTATCGGTCTAAGCAACAGACACTGTGTGTCTCATTCATCAATGCACACACACAAGTCATTAAAGATGCTTGTCCCATCTTTCAACTACGTGCTTCCAATTACCAATGACGATTCATAAATCTCTTTTCTTTCCACATCAGGGTTATCCTCCATGTAGTATTTCATATTTTAAAATGTGGAATTTAAGCATATCTTGATCTTATGAAAATTGGAAATAAGATTTGTATTCACTTATATGTTTTAAACTCGTCTTATTTTTAGTTCTTCTGTTGGGAATCCAAGTGTGAGTCCAAATCCCACAGTTGATAGAAATGAGAAAGTAAAACACTATATAAAGGTGAAAGACCCATTAACCCATTTTCTTAAGGTTTTGAGTAGAAAGTGGTGTCAATCCCTTATATGTTTGGACTCATATCTCATTGGTATTGTGTCTCCCGGTGAACTCCCTACTTGATATTCCCAACAGTGGTATTAGAACCTGAGAATCCAAGTGTTAAGGTTTTGAGTAAAGAGTGGTGTCAATCCCTTATATGGTTGGACTCATATCTCATTGGATTTGTGTTTACCCGGTGAATCCCCTCCTTGATAGACCCAACACATTCATCCATTAAAAGTTGTTTTGAAGATTCTTGTTGAATAACTAAAAGTAAAAAGTTTTCTTAAGTATATCAGTATATGAAGACTTGTTAAAGGTACACTAAGATGTATATGTACACAGTATGGACACAGCATGTAGGCATTTCAATGAGCTACTACTTGTCTTCATTCTGGTTTTTCATTGAAAATTCAATTACATCAACTCTACAGCTTGTGTGGTCTATCAACCTCATCAGCCGACTTAGGTAACGTGGGAACCAGAAAGTGGATCTTTTGTATTGTGAGCACAAGCTAAGGTTGTCGTTACAAAAAAGAAAAATGTCTAAGGAGTTACATATACAGAAAGTTGAACCACTAGGCATGCATTATTG